GGGGGGGAGCAGATGGGCTTGAGGATGGCAAGTGTTTCACTGAAAAACCTCATTTTTCACCCAGTGTGATGTGAGCCCTTCCAAGGGGGATGCAGTGGTGAGAAGAGCCGGGGGCTCTTTGTAGGTGAACAAGGCCCTAAGGGGGATGGAGTTGCATGTGGGGAAGGGTGGCCTGAGGATGAGGGTGGAAGCTGAGGGGCAGAGCTGAGTTCCCCCTAGTGCCACAGGGCTTTTCATGTTCGTTATCATGGGCAGCTCTTCTTTGGGGCCACCTGCCATCTAAACAGTTATTTCTCCAGCAGAGCTCAGAAATAGGGATATTTAAAAAGGAGAGTCTGTGCACATATTTTAAGAACAGATGCCAAATACGCAGACAAGATGGTTAGAAATAACCCAGCTTAGCTCTCGAGCTGAGCCTTACCGAGGAAGGAACAGGGAGAACAAGGCTGTGATGGAGGTTGCCTTGGCAAACCAACCGGGGCAGTTTCTCACCATTCCAGGCAAAGCACTGCAGTTTCACGGGAGAGGTGCTGGCCTGTGAAACGTGTAAACACAGTTAGCGCGTTCGAGAAGATGCCAGACACCCCTTCCTGGTCACCCCAGATGTTTCTGCTATTAGAGGTCCAGCAGCCTGCTGTCCTTGTAAGCCATGGGGGAGCAGGAATGCGGCGCCTCTGCCAGGAACCCTCCATGTGCACTGGGAAAAGCGTGCCGGGCTCTTGTATTTCTGGCTGCGGTGGGGTGTATGGGGGCTGCAGGACCCCCCCAAGGGCATTACTTGCCTGTGAAACAGCTGCCAGGCAGGACGCTGGTCCCCACACGTGGTGTGACACAAGCACTTCCACGCTGTGCTGTTTATTGCGCGGTGATGGTGCGTGGCTTTATATTTAAGAGTGGGCCACTGCCAAAGAGGGGTTTTAAAATCACAGAGTAGCTTTAACTCCGGGGCCAGCTCCTGCCCAAACAGGGCACTGAACATGAGTCGGGAAGGGACAAGCAAGAAAGCTTCTCTTTGTAGGCAAGCACTCATCATGGTGTGGGATGGGATGCCAGGGAGAGGGACAAAACCCTCACAAAGCCACGTCTCTTCTCTCAGGGAGTCACCGGAGTCGGTTCCCAGGGAATAACGATGCAGTGATGAACAGCTGGTTCAAATACCAGTTAATCTGTGGTTTATTTAAACAACACCAAACTGGAGCCGAGGGGAACCTGGGTGGGGGGTGGGTGGGGGGTGACTGCTGCTGGCTTCACACCCACCGGTACCCAGGTCCTGCAAGGGCTTTCCATGGAAAGATGCCTGCGTGGCCATGCACATCATGTCCCAGCTCTTTTATTTTTGCTTATTTTACCCAGCTTTTAGAAGGTTTCAGTCCCTGGAGTTGGGTAACGACAGAAGAATTTCCAGGTTTATTTTCGTAATGCAGACCTTGGAGTAGGGAGAAACACGTGGAAATCCAGAAGCGAGCAACGAGCTGGGTATTGACGTTATCTTCAGCATAACGGCACTGGAGCATGTTTCCTTGATGTTTTTTTGAAGGCTTAGGGCTGGCTCGGCAGGTTTCGTGTTTGAAATAATCCCTTTTCTCCCTCAGATGACACTGCATCCCTCACCGTGCTTTGGCTGAACGTGACCTACTTCATTTCTGAACAAAAGGAAGATTTTCCTCTCGCTGGGGCTGCACCGTCTTCTGGGAGAGGCTGAGGATTCTCCCCCTTGATAGAAAAGCAACCGCGTTTTGGGGTTCAGCAGACAGGCAGGGGATCTCTAGCATCCCTCTCTGTCTTCCCTTTCTTCTAACCCGCATCCTGCTTTTCCTCTCCTCTCTGCAGAAATCAACGGGACGCAGATCTGCCCCACCTCGCTGGTGTCCATCCACGACTTCTCCCCCTCCGACCTGGATAGCGTGCCCCGGCTCCGCTACCTGCGGCTGGATGGGAACCTCCTGAAACCTCCCATCCCCTTGGACCTGATGATGTGTTTCCGTCTCCTGCAGTCCGTGGTTTTCTAGCCCTGCCCAGCAGCGCACCTCTCCCAGGACTTGGCTTTGCACAGAGACTCGAACCCTGTCTATGTTTGACACGTGGGACCCTCTTTGTCTCCCTCTTCCCCTGCTCACACCCCGTCTCCATCCCTCTTCCCTCTCCCCCTTTCCTCCCCGGCGATGGCCGTGGACACGCGTGGTATGGGCATCCTTGGGGACCGCTGTCTGCAGGACAGCCCCGCGTCGCAGCAGCCATCCCAGGTCACGGCATCAGCCCGGGGTGGCTGCCACGCTCACCCCAGTTCCCTGCCTGCGGGCCCTGCCTTCTCTGCCCTCACCCTGCCCTGGAGCTGGCTCTGTTTTCTCCCCTTCCACCAGGCAGAGTTTCAGGAGGTTGGATTAGGTCCAAGCCAAGAGCATCACCGGATGGAGCTGACGAGGGAGCCCAGGGGTCACCTTGCTGCGGGACTCGGGTCACAGCATCACTCGGGGTGGCTGCCCCCTGAGAGCCTGCCGTGTCCCTGGGGAAAAATCCCCAGTGACGGAGGCGGAGCTGGTGTGCCGAGGGTGCAGGTGGCCACCCTGCAGCCCTGGGGCGTCGGGCGATGCCAGCCGGGCGTACCGGGCGGCTGAGGGAGCAGGATCCGTGCGGCGGAGGGTGGCTGGGGCTGGCACCGACCGGCAGGACCGGCAACGACACCTCGTGGCCACAGCCACGTCCCGGGGCCCCGGGCGAGGGACACGCTCCTCCCGCCTGGGCCCTCCTGGGGGCCCTTGGCCTTGGCTCCGCATTGCTCCGGGCTTATTCCCTCGTGGTGGTGTGAACTCGCCAGGACAGAGTGCGGAGGGTGTCCCGCACCCTCCTTTGCAAGACCAGCCCCCTCCCCAGCTTTCATCCCTCCCAGGCTCCCCCCAGCAGCATCAATCCATGGTGTCGCAGCCCCCTCCCAGCACCCAGCACCCTCCGGCCGCCCCGTGCTGTGGAGATGCCGGGCTCAGCGCCGCGGCCGCACTCTGCTCCTGCCAGCTACCCCCTGCCCTCCCCACGCCTGGGGACCCCAGTGCTGGTGACCTGCCCCGGACACGGGGCCCCCCTGGGGGCAGAGCAGAGCCAGGGGCTTTGCAGCAGTGCCAGTGGGACACTTAACTCTCATATTGAGGTGCCTGGGGCCAGATGCTGACGTGGGTGTAAGACCCCAAGTTGACCCGTGAGATCTCCGCTCTGCTCTCACACCTCTACTCCCATCTCCTGTTTTACTCTCTGTTGCTTTCTTGAACCAAACACACGTGACTGGTTTTGCCTTTGTTGTTGTTGTTGTTTGTTTTGGAAAAGAAAAAAAAAAAAGGAAAGAAAAAGAAAAAAGAAAAAGGAAGAATTACTCTTTTGGAAAAGCTTTTTTTTTTTTTTTTATTCCCCCTTCTCCCTGTTTTCACATGTATCGCTTCCCTCTTTGATAGCTGTACCTGCATATATAGGGTGTCCGGGTTTAGCGGGGGTTATACTCTTTTTTTTTTTCTTCCTGATTCTCAGGATTTAGATTTAAGGCTGAGCGTTAAAGGAAAAAACAAACAAACAAACAACGGAAATAAGCATTAAATCAAGAAACCAAAGAAACCAGCCGTTACCTCCTTTGAGTTCACCCACCAAAAACCGACCCTTCTCTGAGCCGGGCATGGACGGGCACCGTGTCCCGCTCCCTGGGAAAGGGACAGGGATGCTCCCCGCAGCCTGGGGACACCCCAGCGACCCTGTGAGCTGAGTGCTCCCCCCTTCCCAGCGCGGGAAGGTTCATGAAACCCCTGTGCTAATTCAGGCTTGTTTTCTCATGATAAAAGTCTTTTCTCCAAATCTTCCTCCAGTGGGCTTTATTGGGTTTGACAGGTTTCAACCTTAAACCCGGAGACCCTATGTATATATTTATATATAATGTGTATATATACTGGTAGACTGTACAGATATATCTAGAGACATATGTAGTTCTCGACTGATTTCAATTTAATGGTATTTTCACTCCTACTCTCTGCAGCAGTGAAAATAAAGTGATTCACAAGGGACACAGCACCGCAGTTGGACTTGCCTCTCTCTGATCCACCCTCATCTTCCTCGCTGCGCGGGACCTGACGCCTCATTCAGGACCAGATTTGCTCTGTTGGGGACAACTTTCCCAACAGTCGGAGCTTGGGAGAGCCCAGGGGGTCCCTGTGGTGGGACTGTCTCT